TGGCGTTTCGTTCTAGATTTAAAACCTTCAGATTAGGCAACGTTTCGAAAATGCCTTCCTCAAGAACTGATAAATTATTTCCTGCTAGATTTAGGCTTCCCAATTTGTCCATGCCCTTAAGAGAATATTTTTCGATTCTGTTAATTTTGTTGTTGCTCAAGTCTAATGTTTTTAAATTGTGAAGCACATTAAAGACGCCGTTTAAAATCTCTGTCATGTTGTTGTCTTCGAGGTTCAATGTTCGTAATTCACACTGGTATAGAAATACTCCTGGTAGAATTTTTTTGATATGGAGTCTACTTAACGTTAACTCATGTATTTGGTTTATGCTAAGAACTTCAGCGGATAAATCTGAAGCATTTATAGTCGAAATGTTTGAGTTGGTTATTGTTAAATACGTCATAGCCGCTGTATCACCAGGAACAAAATGAATAATTTCGCTAAGAGATTGTAGGTTGGAACATTCAAATCTATAAGTTTTCTTCTGATGGCAATAAGCAGTTTGCCCATATTTAATGTGTGACAAAACCAGCAAACTGGGTAAAATTAACCACATTTTTCTGAAAAAAAACTACTATTAATTGTGAAACTTTAATATAAAAACTACTTTTTGTTCATTATAGGAGAATATCGAATTTTTAAAATGTACTTACAAGAATTTCACTACCAACCACTTCAATTGTTGGTTTAAAAATAAAAGTATTGTCTCTGATATTAAAACGGAAAACGTATTCATATGTATCCTGTTTCAGTCTCAAATAAAACTAAACTCGACTTGGAAAGCTGATTAAGCAGTGATAATGATATCTGTTTAAAATTGATGAAAATTATGAATAATATTTACTTCAATAACTTAATAATAGAAATGGTAAACAATGCTTATTTTCGAAAAAGCATTGGAAGCTTATCTGCTATTCATATTCCAAAAATTTTCTCGTCCCCTCAATTGAATTAAAAATGATTTACTTTTATTTTATAAAAGTAATTATTATTATTAACTTTATACATACAGGGTGAATATAAAGTATGGAACCAAGCGGTTTTATTTTTAATCAATTGCCACCAGAAAATAATAATTAATATAAATGAAAGTAATATAAAAAATGTGATCGTATTTTCACAACGAAATTTTTGTTTTGTTTTTGAGTTATTCGATTTTCTTTTGTCAAAATTGCAATTTATGTGAAAAATTTTTTTGAGAAAATTAAATATAAAGGAGATAGTTGTAATCCTTAGAGTATAGCTTTTATGAGAAAAATGGTTTTATAGTGGGTTGCCATTTAAAAAAATATTTTTTTTTGTAGAACTCAAAAACAAAAGGAAACTTCGAAAAATTTTATTCTTGTTAAATCATCACATTTTTATAGTACTTTATCACTCATCAATTAGTTTTTTCAAAAAATAAATAGTTTAAGCAAAAAACGTTTGGTTCCATACTTTTTATTCACCTGGTATAAAAAACTAACATCAATTACTTTAAAATTAGGTAGTTACAGTCAAAGAAAGCAGCAGCGCAAAAAACAAACGTTAATATTTATTTTTGATTGAAGCAGTGATTTTATTTATTTGTTATACATATTAACAAAAATAAAACCACTTTTAAAATTTCAAAAATATATTTAATTCAAGTCCTTTTGAGGTAACAATTCCGTTGACCTTCCTTAACAAACTCAAAATGAGATAATTTTTATTTTTATTATTATTTTATTCAACTGGGTAAGTGAAAAGTTTATCATGATATTCCTGATCAAAATTTTTGACCGGAAATTGCAAACATTCCGTGGACAATTTGAACATCGTGAGAAGATTCTTCTGCTAAATTTGTTTTGTTTTTCAAAATATTAGCAAGGTTGCTGCAGTTCAAAAAAATAATTTTCTAAAGAAATTGAGTTATAAGAATAGGTTTTTTAAAAATTTCTATGGCATACTTGATTTTTCAAAATTAAAATTATGTTATGGACTGAACCCCAAAAAAAGAAAATTTAAATTAATTTTTTAACTAATTTCACCTATCCGTGGACACACTTAAAAGGGGTTGTTATTGATTTTCATGATTATTACATTAAATAACTCACAAATAATTTTTTTAAACAGTTTTCCTTTAAAAAACATTCATAAGTTCGATTTTACTCGTTGCTTGTCTACCGCCCACTAGAGGGTGCAATTGCGACAAAATAATTTTTTTAATAGTTTTCGTTTTTCAATTATGTATTAGAAAAAAGATGATTTATAAAAGGAATCATTAAAAAATAATAGTTACAAAATTTTATTTTGCTTTAAAATTCTTCTAGATTTTCATGATTTTTGACCGAAAATGTGAATATAAAAAAAGTTTTTCTTTTAACATCTCGAGATGGCTAAAACGGAGACAAAAGGCTTTTTATAATCAATCACTAATTCAATTTTTTTAATTTATTCAAAAAAAAAATGTTTTTGAGTAAAAAATCCCGAGTTTTAGTCTTATTTATTTATGAAAAATATGAGAAATTTTTATGTGTTCGGAGAAACTTTTGAGGTGTGGAGCAACTAAATAGTCGCTGATGTAATAATTATCAGAAACTTGTTTTATTATAAAAAATAATTTAATTATAGTAGGTACATATTCACATTCTAATTAAAACTAAAACAGTAAATAAAAAAAACCGTATTTTTCCTTAAGATCTGCGTCTACGCTCTGCGCTAGTTCATCTACCGTCCACCAGATGATCAAATTTTTAACCGGAAATTGCGAACGTTTCGTGAACATTTTGAATATCGTGAAAAGATTCTTCTGTTAAATTTGTTTCGTTTTTCAAAATATTAGCCAGGTTGCTGAAGTTCAGAATAATATTTTCTAAAGAAACGGAGTTATAAGAATAGGTTTTTTAAAAATTCCTAAGGCATACTTGATTTTTCAAAACTAAAATTATGTTAGAAATTAGTCTTTAACTAAGCAGGGTGAACCCCAAAGGGCCAAAGAAAGAAAATTTAAATTAAGAATTATTCATCTTTTACAAGAGTCGTTTCTCTTATCCGTGGACACACTGTATTTAAAATTAAAAGGGGTCGTTATTGATTTTCATGATTACACTAAATAATTCAAAAATAAATTTTCTGATTTTAAAAATAGTTTTCCTTTAAAAAACATTCATAAGTTTGATTTTGCTCGTTGCTTGTCTACCGACCACTAGAGGGTGCAATTACCGCAAAATATTTTTTTAATAGTTTTCATTTTTCAATTATAATTTTTAAATGTACTTATTCGAAATAAGGTGATTTATAAAAGGAATCATTTTAAAAAAATAGTTACAAATTTTTATTTTGCTTTAAAATTCTTCTAGATTTTCATGATATGAAATTAAGTAGTGGTTGAAAATATCTACACAAAGAACACAAATAAATTGATTCAAAAATGATTAATTAAAAAAAAATTCAAAAGCAAAAAAACTCGTTTCAAATTCTCTATTTTTTAATACTAGTTAAACAGGCTGCGCCAGAACTCAAGCCCCAGAGAAAAATTTTAAGTAAGATATCTGTCATTTGACATTTGACATTTTTTCATGTCTATTTAATGATACTGATGATCTTGTATATATTTTTTCATAATTATTTATTAAGGGTACAAAAATTTTGCTCATAAAAACCACAAATAACATTAAACCGAGTTACAATTTAGGATATAGCTTCCTTGTTTCCTCTTCTAATTGCTAGTATCAAAAAAATCTGGAAAACTATTTTTCCAACAGAAATAAATAGAGTCAAAGTTCAAAATTGAAACTTTCATAACTTCGAAATTTTAATAGATAGAATTTTTTTAACATTTTTTCAGGAGTCGTTTTACCTATCCGTGGACACACTGTATTTAAAATTAAAAGGGGTCGTTATTGATTTTCATGATTGTTACAATAAATAATTCAAAAATAAATTTTCTGATTTTAAAAACAGTTTTCCTTTAAAAAACAATCATAAGTTTGATTTTGCTCGTTGCTTGTCTACCAACCACTAGAGGGTGCAATTACGGCAAATTATTTTTTAATAGTTTTCGTTTTTCAATTATAATTTTTAAATGTATTAGAAAAAAGATGATTTATAAAAAAAATCATAAAAAAAAAGTTACAAATTTTTATTTTGCTTTAAAATTCTTCTAGATTTTCATGATTTTTGACCGAAAATGTGAAAATTTTCTTTTAACATCTATAGACTAGCTAGTTCCTCTTCCATCCTCGAGATGGCTAAAACGGAGACAAAAGGCTTCTTATAATCAATCACTAATTCAAATTTTCTAATTTATTCAAAAAAATGTTTTTGAGTAAAAAATTCCGAGTTTTAGTCTTATGTATTTATGAAAAATATGAGAAATTTTTATGTGTTCGGCGAAACTTTTGAGGTGTGGAGCAACTAAATAGTCGCTGATGTAATAATTATTTTATTATAAAAAATAATTTAATTATAATTCCCCTTAAAACTAAAACAGTAAATAAAAAAGCAGTTTTTTTCCTTAAGACCTGCGTCTACGCTCTGCACTAGTTCATCTACCGTCCACTAGATGGCTAAATCGCGGCATAGCCCGGCTGTTGCCATGACAACAACAGCTTCTTCGGCTGTCCAACCAAACTCGCCGGTTCCGCAGCCAAGTGACGTTGCGTCGCGCTCTTCATCTATGATCTCGCGAGATATTTTTAAAATATTTTAGTGTTGTTTACACCGAGTGTCACACATGGAAAACACCGCAATGAAGTAAGTATCACGATAAAAACACTTATCACACAAATCGATACCAACCCCTTTTTGGTTTTTTTCGGGGCACTTTTTCGAATTTTCACCGAGAAAATGGCCCAAAAAGCGTTTTGGTGGGCCCAAAGAGCAAATTTGTTAAGAGGTCGATGCAAATTTACCGGTCGGAGTCATTAAGTAATGCATTATTATTCAACGGAGCTGCACGAATTAGTTTAAGTAAATAATAACATAAACACGTAACTGATATGATAACAGTGATACGTAACAACTTCGGTGGGGTGGCTGCGACGGAAGGGGAAAAAACAATTAAAAATATTGCTTTGCTCCGAAATTAAAAGCTTTGAAAACTAATTTGGGTTTTGCAGTTGGCAGTTATTGAAAACAAGGTTTTCAACTGAAATGTTGCTTTAGAAAAATGGGAAAGTTCAGTTAAAGTCGACGAAGTTTTGTTTTTTTTGTTCGTTTTTAGAAAAATTCTACGTATTTATTGTTAATCTGTTTTTTTTTTATTTCAGTTAATATTAAAAAAAAAGATTTAGGGGAGTTAGAAAAAAAATTCGAATCAAGTGGCATCACGAGTACTAAAGAAGTCGCAAAAAGGGCGAAACGTATATGAAATTAATTAGTGGTTGAAAATATCTACACAAAGAACACAAATAAATTGATTCAACAATTATTAATTAAAAAACAATTTCAAAAGCAAAAAAACTCGTTTCAAATTCTCTATTTTTTAATACTAGTTATACAGGATGCGCCAGAACTCGCGCCCCAGAGAAAAATTTCAAGTAAGATAAGATACCAGGAACATGGAAAAAAGATTTAAAAAATTCTATCTGTCATTTGACATTTGACATTTTTTTATGTCTAATTAATGATACTGATGATCTTGTATATATTTTTTCATAATTATTTATTAAAGATACAAAAATTTTGCCAATAAAAGCCACAAATAACATTAAACCGAGTTACAATTTAGGATATAGCTTCCTTGTTTCCTCTTCTAATAGCCAGTAGCAAAAAAAAATTTGGAAAATTATTTTTCCAATAGGCATAGTACCTTTCTCTGGGGCGCGAGTTCTGGCTCACCTTGTATAAAGGAGATTTCACTAAAATCTGTCTAATGGAAATTCTATGATTTTGATAGTTCAAAAACTGAGCATATGTTTTAAAAACTTTCAACTAAAAATACAGTCCTTTGAAAATGACATTTTGAAAACCAGTTTACGTTTAAAAATTAAAGGTTGGCAATAAATTTGGCAACCTTGACTGTCAAATTGAAACGTCATATTTTTATAGGCAATTATCATTCGTTTTCGACGAAAATAGCTGTCACCTGAAACAAGAGGATAGTAATTCAATCAGTGTTGCCAATAGGTTAAAATTAGGAAGCAAAATTAGGACTAAGCTTTATAATTTTAACTAATAATACATTTCACTAAAAATTAAATTTTAAAAACCATTTGACGTTTGACAATTAAAGGTTGGCAACAAATTTAAAGTTTTAATTTGGCAACCTTGATTGGCAAATTGAAACATCACAGTTATATAGGCAATTGCCATTTATTTTCTTGGAAATAGCCGTCACCTGAAACAGGGAATATCCTAATTTATTCAGTGTTGCCAACAAATTAAAATTCAGGACTGAGCTTTATAATTTTCAACTAAAATACATTTAATTGAAAATGTCATTTTAAAAACCATTTGACGTTTAAAAATGAAAGGTTGACAACAAATTTGAAGTTCTAATTTGGCAACTTTGAGTGTCAAATTCAAACGTCATAGTTTTTCATTTTTGACGACCTAAAACAGGGGGGTAGTAATTCAATCAGTGTTGCCAATAGGTTAAAATTAGGCAGCAAAATTAGGACTAAACTTTATAATTCCAACTAATAATACATTTCACTAAAAATTAAATTTTAAAAACCATTTGACGTTTGACAATTAAAGGTTGGCAACTAATTTAAAGTTTTAATTTGGCAACCTTGATTGGCAAATTGAAACATCACAGTTTTATAGGAAATTGCCATTCATTTTCTTGGAAAATCGCCGTCACCTGAAACAGGGAACATCCTAATTTATTCAGTGTTGCCAATAGATTAAAATTCAGGGCTGAACTTTACAATTTTCAACTAAAATTTATTTTATTAAAAATATCATTTTAAAAACCATTTGGCGTTTAAAAATGAAAGGTTGGCAACAAATTTGAAGTTCTAATATGACAACCTTGAGTGTCAAATTCAAACGTCATAGTTTTTCATTTTCGACGAAAATAGCGGCCACCTGAAGCAGTGTTGCCAATAGATTAAAAAAAACAGGACTAGGCTTTGTAATTGACTCAGTTATGACAGTTTTTAAACTTTATTTATTCACCCTGTACAATTGTAAAATAAAATTTTGGTCTGATTGTGTGGCTTTATTTTGCAAATTCGTTGTGTGCGAATGTTAAAATTGCTTTTGTAAACTATGCCTTTGTGACACTCGAATTACAACTGAATAATTCGGGATATTTTAAGCCTTTTATTAGCTATAAAAGCCATTTATTAGTTATTTCGTGGGCAGCAAAAACTTTTCGCTTTTTTTATTTCAAACTCCGAAAGCCGACTACAAAACATGTATAGAATTCCATGAAAATCCGTCTGAATTGTTTGAAAACACAGCATATTTGAGTATAAACAAAGCCAACATTGTTTTAAAATGTCGGGCTTTTTATCCGGAAAATTATTCCGTTTCTGTGGAATTCGAACTTGACCCAATTAACGATCGATGACCACCTGGAGATGGACGCAACTGGTGGTTTTGGAAGGTAAACAGAATTTTTCTTCGAGAATTTTGTCGTAAAAAAGCCCCAAGTCTTGACGAATTTAATTCACTCGAACGGTGGCGATAAAACTTATCTCAATTGTTTTTATTTTACGAGGGCTGTGTGATTTTTTTTTATTATTAAATAAAGTTATCTTGGAAATATAACCCATCTGTGGTTTATTTACTTACCCTCGCAAAGTTTAATAACAGATGAGTGACGTTATCTGGTTTTTAATTTATTCGAGAACAATTGAGTTGTTTGTATGCGAGAAGAAAACAAGGCTCTTAATTGTCTCATGATTTGGTGAAATTACGTTTCAGGCGTTGGTAGCACTGCTCTGACAGTTTTTTCACCAATCTGACGAAAACAAATCCCCAGTGGTTTTTTTCTGAAAGTTGGTAAATGAGATTGTGGGTTCTGCATTGCGGTCTGACTGAAAAAGCTGATTTTTTTCTGAAAAAACGTGAATGGATTTTGCTGAAGGTTGGCGATTCTGTTTTTGTTGCCAACCGATGGCTTGAGAATACGTTTCAGCCTTTTGAAGGGTTTTTCAGCTGAAAATTTTGCAAAATTTTCTATAAATTGCGACGGTGTCTCATTTAGGAAAAAAATTAAAATTTTGAATAAATAATACATATTTTACAATTAATTTTTTTCTGTAATTTGACATTTTGCAGAAGAAAACTTTAGTGCAGTTCGAAAAGCCGGTGAAGTAAAAAAAGACCATTTTTTTTAAATTAATTGTTAATAACAAAACGTTAATTTAATAGAATTTTTTACATGGCCCACGAAGGCTAACAAATTATTTTGCAAAATTTCTATGTTGGCGCTTCCTTTAGATTGCGACGTGGTCTCATTTAAGAAAAATAAAAACGAAAATTTTGAAAAAATAATACATATTTTACAATTAAATTTTTTCCGTAATTTGACATTTTGCAGAAGAAAAGTTTAGTAAAGTTCGAAAAACCGGTAAAGTAAAAAATGACCATTTTTTTTAACTAAATCGTTTATAACAAATTAATTTAATAGAATAGTTAATTTAATAGAATTTTTTTCACGGCCCACGAAGGCAACAAATTTATTTTGCAAAATTTCTAGTTTGGCGCTTTTCGATTCTTTTTAATATTCTCGAAGTTTCCTCTAGATTGCGACGGTCTCATTTAGGAAAAATAAAAATGAAAATTTTGAAATAATAATACATACCTATTTTACAATTAATTTTTTTTCCGTAATTTGACTTTTTGCAGAAGAAAACTTTAGTGAAGTTCGAAAAGCCATTAAAGCACAAAAAGACCATTTTTTTAAACTAAAATGTTAATAACAAATCGTTAATTTAATAGATTTTTTTACACGGACCACGAAGGCAACAAATTTATTTTGCAAAATTTCTACGTCGGTGCTTTTTAATTTAATATTCTCGAAACTTCCTTTAGATTGCGACAGTGCCTCATTTAGGAAAAATAAAAATGAAAATTTTTTCCGTATTTTGACATTTTGCAGAAGAAAACTTTAGTGTAGTTCGAAAATCCGGTAAAGTAAAAAATGACCATTTTTTTTAACTAAATTGTTAATAACAAATTAATTTAATAAATTTTTTACACGGCCCATTAGGCCAGCAAATTTATTTTGCAAAATCTCTAGATTGGCGTTTTTCGATTTTTTTAATATTCTCGAAATTTCCCATAGATTGAGACGGTGTCTCATTTAGGAAAAATAAAAATTAAAATTTTGAAAAAATAATACATATTTTACAATTAATCTTTATTTAATCGCCGAAATTTTTATTTTTTATTTATTAGCCATCGATAGACAAATAAAAATATAAAAAGAAAATAAAAAAGGTAAGAAAACAATTGTATAAAAAGAATAAAACACAAAAGTCACAATAATAGAACACAAGTTTCAAAAACATTACTGCCTTTTGCAGGATATTTAAACACTAATGGAAATTTAGTTTCGTCAGGTTGGTACTGCAGAAAAATAAATAAAACGTATTTTTTGAATAATAATAATAAGAGAATGTTTGAATAGCAACAAATTTCTAGTGATTTTTTATTTTTGGTTGGCTACACTTGTTAACTAAACAAAAACATATTAGAACCTGGCAAATCTAAGATATACATTGGTAAAAAAAGACAAATTGGAGCCAAAAAATTAGTTTTGTCTCTTTCTATAGTTGTACATTTTGGACTAACTATACTCTTAAAACACTAAAAATTATTCAGTAGTAGGTTTTCACTACGAGTTTAATTTTGTTATAAGCTCTAGGGTTTTTTGCTTTTTACTTGGCTGCAGTTGCGAACTTGAATGTCAAAAATATTAATTACATGTTGGACTAGTTTAAAAAAAATTCAAGTACGTAAAACAGCAATTTTCATTAGGTTGGTATCGCTGAGACGTAATTCATAATTGAATTTGATGACTCAGTATATTCGAAATGAAATTTCAGCTTTCAGGTCATATTAATTTCAGTGTCGCCTACAATGAAACGCTAAATGAAATAAAATTGAAAAATTATTTATTTTCGTCGACAGTTTCATTTCAGGAATGTAAATACAAGTCTTTTCAGCCTCTTTATCAAGAGCCTCGCATTCAGTATTTTCTCAACTAATATTTACTAATTACTTCGTTACGAATCTTGGCTTGCAAATGTGTAAAAATCAAAAATTTTTATTGTTCATTTTGCGACAAATCGCGTATTTTGGGCCTCCGAATCTGGATTTTCGCCAAGTTTATAATTGACTTGTTTATGGAGGTATTTTTACAACGTAAAGTCCTGCAACGTGAAGAATGCGGCTATAAATGGCAGACAAACATAAACACCAACAAATTATAAAACGATTTTTCCCCGTCTAATTATAAACTCATTTCGTAAGTGCACATGTCGGAGTTAATTAGAAACGAAAAAGCGATTTTCCGATTAAATTCAACACCGCAAACAACATTTGCGCTAGGAAAACAATTAAATCTATTTCTGGGTTTTTGGTTGGTAAATTTTGGATTTTTCTAGGTGATCCGGGAGTGGGAGTTGACTTCCTGCTGAACGATGACGCTACAGTGGGACAAACTGTCCCCGCAGGAGTTTCAGCAGCTGCAGGATTTAGCCGCATGTAAGTTTTTCTTCGTGGAAATGAAACGGTTGTTCGATTCGCGGAAAGCAGGTTGCATTCGACCTAATTTGATGCGAAGGCGGCTCGCAATTATGCAGAATGCTAATTATGTTTTATCATGGAGGCTTTTTCTAGATATTTTAACAAATTTTTCTTAAAAAAATATAAAGTTACCTTGATTTGTTTTTTTTTAAAACCCTTTAACCGAAAAAGTGGAAAAAAAAAATTTTGTTACAAAAAAACACATCTGGAGTGTGTAGTTCATAGTTAAAAAAAACAGAACAACAAATCAGAATTAAACAAATTTTAAACTATAAGTTCATGTTTAGTAAAAAAAACGGAAATAGCAAAGAAAGAAAAAACAAAAAACTCAAAAATTTTGCACAAAAAAATATAATCAAAGTAATATACCTACATAAAATAAAATACAATGAAGAGTATTTTCTTAAAAATTTAGGGTTTGGCTACATGTAAGTTGCGTTTTTGGCTAATTAAAAGAAAGTTACAACGGAATAATCATTAATATTCTCGAAAAATAGAAAAAAAAGAAAAAAGCAAAAAAAGACAAACGAAAAAATCATTCAAAATAAATATAAAATAGACTATAAAATAAGTATATAGAAATACAAAATACAAAACCGAAGCCTAAACACAAAAATTAGTGAAAATAAGAGAAAAAGTTATAAAAAGAAGAAATAAGAA